ATTCCGGGTGGAAGAAGGGATCCATATCAAGAAACACAACGGAAACAAAAACTCTGAGAGAAAAACAAGAAAACAAACGGTGGGGAAAACACAGAGGTAACGGTGTTGGTCAGGTCTTCTGTCACATTACGCTTTTCAGGGAACACGCTGGAGTCACAAGGAAATGTTTAACAGTCTTTAATCGAAGAAACACTGGGAATAACCCACAACAGGAGCTTGAGCAACACACGTAGACAACAAGTAGACCTGACAGAGACAGACTGCATAGACTGGGACTTAAATACAGGGGATGATTGGGGAAACACAGGTGCATGGGATGACTAATCAAACTAATTAACAAAACGAGGAAAGGAACATGACCAAATAAGGGAACAGAAACAGGGGCAAAACATGACACAGTACATGATCCTGACAGATGTACTTAACTCCTACTTAAGTGAGTCAAAAAACACTCTTAATTTCATTAATTGCATTTAATATAAATATAAACTACAATATATTTCCATTTAATTGCAATTAGCATGCAATTAGGCCACCGCAAACATTTAATTCAGTTAGCATATTATTTTGTACATTCTAAATATTTAATGTTTTCATATTAAAAAAAAAACTATCCATTCACAAGGCTGGTGGTAGAAAGCAAAAAGACCATGTTAACTGACCAACGGGTCACAGTTATCAACCAATGTGTTTAATTCATTTCAGATTCCATTTGTCATCATATCAGCAATGGAAAGATGCTATTATCCTACAACACCACCCAATCACACAATAGAGTAATTGTTCAGTTTTTCTCTATTCTAGTTCTACACTTTCTGTCCTACTAACAAGTTTCCACTCTCTATGCAATATCGCAGGCCTAATAGCAATTCCATCATCATCTGAGTCTCACACACTCCAGTGCTTAAACATGATGAAACCCGGAGAGATGAGACATTTGTGCTTGTTGGAGGCAGTGAACAGGCAGAGGAGGTGATTACACATGCATCTTTTCTAAAATAACATATGATTAAGTGTCATAATGGAGCTCGTCACTTTTTATCCTTTTCCTTGCAAGTGTCTCCAAATATCACACTCGTAACTGTTGGTGCAGCATGGAAACATTTCATAGTGTTAATGCCGCTTTATGTATTGTAATACATAAACGTACAGCCACTGGCCTTTTGTTACTCAACAGTCTTTTGCACTTAAATTATCAAACATGTGTATCCCGAAACCAACAGGCATAATTAAAAATAATTATTAGCTGGTAAATGTGAAGGTTAACTGTGAGATGAAGGTCCGAAGTTCTTTATAAAAAAAATAAATGCTTGTGGGCCTTTATATCTGCAGCGTTCCCTCCTTCACAATGGCAGTTTCTTTAATTAAAAAGCCAGCAGGGATCTAAATGTCATCCAAATACTGCTGTTTAGCATTGTGATGGATACCGTGTGTCTGCATGTGGGTGTGCTTCTCTGGTATACGTGCTTTCTCTAGAAAATAAGCTCTATAAAAGCAAAGATTTGTGCTTATGATAATGCATTTACAGCTGAAGTGTTCAAGACAGGTTATTCCAGGGGGTTTAAAAGCAATTATATGCAGCTTGTGTTTTTATTAAAGTGCTTATATTACATAATTCTTACCTAAAAATGTGCATTTAAATCGTCCTTTTAGAGATGGGACGACTGTTCTTGGTGGATGAGCTCCTGGTTATGTGAGATTGATGTAATTCCTGTGGGTGGATTGTCTTCTGTGTAAACAGTCTCTTTCTAAAATCCTTCTGTGTATCAAATGAAAGCCAGTAGGTTTAGTGGCTTTACATGGTCGTGACAGGAGTTATATTAGCTGTAACCTCACAATAACAAGGTTAGTAAGTAAAATAGGTGATGACATATGTATGAAATGATCCTTCTATCGAAACTTGTGTATCAACTGGTATTTAAATATATTGCAATTACACGTTTATAATGATGTAGTTGCAATTTACTACATTTAAAATATATTAACAAAAATTATGTAATACTGAATAAGTTTTAAAACATAATGATTTAAAATGTAATTTCAACCAAAACTTTTAATTTGACATTATTACAAAGCCTTAAGTCTGTTTAAGTACTGTAACATAGGAGGTGTGACGATGGAGTTGAGGATCCAAATGCAACTTTATTTAAAAGAATGGTCAAAATAGGCAGGGTCAAACATCAGCAAACAGGTACAATCCAGAGCGAGACAAAAGAGTAACCATGAACAGTCCAGGGTCAAAAACAAGGCATGGCAAGGCAACAAGGAAGTAGGAAAACACGGAAAACACAGGAACTTGGAAACGCTACAGGCTAGACAGTACTGAGCACTGAATGGAATGAATGGATAACCAGGCTATAAACAGGGTGAGACTGATGGAGGTAACAAGACACAGGTGAATGCAATAAGTGATGATGAGTCCGGCAAAGGATTATGGGAAATGTAAGCTGTGAGAGTGGCAAGAGTCAGGGGTGGAGTGCCCTCTGGTGGAGTTCATGGGCACTCCAGCTTGAGATCGTGACAAATACACTTAAGGGGCCTTTAATTTCATTATTATTATATTACCTATATTACCTCTTTTTACAAGGGTATGTTTGTCAAGCTGCAAAAAGGAGATAAAAAAAATCACTATTAAAGTATAGTCCATGTGACTGATGTGATAGCCTGTATTTAAATCTACTAGATCTGTGTGAGGAACAAAAAGGAAATTAGATTTTTTATTAATTCAAAGTGTTTCCAAACAAATAAAAAATGATCATAGCCTTCCAATCAAATATGGTGCCTTTAGAGGCATTGTGTCAGGTTTGATGTTCTGTTTAGTCATACAAGAACGTTCAACTTTACTGACATTCAACCTGGCACAATGTGTCATGGTCATATTGAACTGTTATTACATAGAAAAAATAAAAACAGGTTTGGAACAATGTGAACAGAAAGCCCAGCCAAGGTCTTAGAACTTTTGCTAACATTCTGGCAACATTCCAGTAACATTAGTAAGTTTGTTAAGTTATCTGGTTTTTAAAGGGATAGTTCACCCAAAAATGAAAATTCTGTCATTAATTACTCAACCTCATGTCGTTTCAAACCCGTAAGACCTCCGTTCACCTTCAGAACACAAATTAAGATATTTTTGATGAATTCTGAGAGCTCTCTGACCCTCCCATAGACAGCAAGCGTCCTTACACGATCAAGGTCCAGAGACGTAGCAAGGAGACTGGTAAAATAGTCCATGTGACATCAGGGGTCCAACCGTCATTTTACAAAGCTACGAGAATACTTTTTGTAAGCAAAGAAAACAAAAATAACGACTTTATTCAACAATTTGTCTCCTCCACATCACCTCTGTGTCAGCTGCGTCACGCAGATGCATTGTTTTCGTTTAAATCAAACCGTAAACAACGTAGAAAACGTACCCGAATGCCGCAGCTAACACAGAATAGCATACGCTGTTTATGTTCAGTGGATACTTTCCAAAATGGCACCAGGGTGAAACGGAGGAGAAGAATTGTTGAATAAAGCCATTATTTTTGTTTTCTTTGCATACAAAAAGTATTCTCGTAGCTTCGTATAATTACGGTTGAACCCCTGATGTCACATGGATTATTTTACCGATCTTCTTGCTACGTTTCTGGACCTTGATCGTGGTAGTTACCTTGCTGTCCATGGGAGGGTCAGAGAGCTCTCAGAATTCATCAGAAATATCTTAATTTGTGTTTCAAAGATGAACGAAGGTCTTACGGGTTTGGAACGACATGAGGGTGAGCAATTAATGACAGAATTTTCATTTTGGGGTGAAATAACCCTTTAATAATGTTCTCAAGACAAAGAAAAAAACATTATACATCGTTCATGAATCTTGTTTTTTTAGTTGTTTCTAACTTTTTAAAAATGTTTTAAACGTTTTAAACTTTTTTAAATGTTACTACTTGCTTCAGAATGTAACATTCCGATAATGTTTTCAAAATGACAACATGGAATGTTCCCATAACCAAGAAAATTAGTTTTTAAAACATTTAAAAAATGGACTTTTAAACGTTTTGAGAAAATTCACTTAATGGGAACATTAAGAAAATGTTGTTAGAACTTGTTAGCTAAAAGTATGTGAGATGAAATGAAAATCGCTGAAAATCATTTCACCCTCGTGTTGTTCCAAACCTCTTTCTTCTTCTTTCTTCTGTCAAACTCAAAAGAGACAATTTGAGAAATGTGTTAGTATTTTTTTCCATAGTCCAAAAACCAGCATTCTTCAGAATAACGTATGTGGTCCACAGAAGAAAGTAAGTCATATGGGTTTCAAACTACATGAAGGTGAGTAAATGATACACATATTTTAAATATATATATATATATATATATTTTTTTTTTTTAACTACGAACTATGTTTTCAATTGCCATGAATATAGCATCATAATGACTTCCCTTATGGTCCTAACATAGGATTCATTTTCTAATTTCTTTCTTTTGATTTGAGCGCAGTATGATCTGCGTGCTCAAGTTTTGTGAGATTCACTCTGTTGCTATTTGAATGTGTTCACATTGAGTTTTGAAATGCTCTCTTGTAGCTAGTCCAATTATTACCTCATTATTACTTGATAGCGCTTTTCTTGTCTTTCATTATCTTATAGATCTCCTCCAGTGTGCGTGTGTGTGCCTCTCTCTCTCTCTCTCTCTCTCTCTCTCTCTCTCTCGCTCTCGGTAAGAATAAACCATCCTCATCTTTACAGGGGTGCACATGTCGTCTTAATACAACAGCATCACATTAACAACAATTTTTGCTTCTGAATATTCATTCATGTATCAAAACACTCATGTACGTTCAAATTCGTAACATCAACCATATTTTTGTCATTTTGTCCCACCCACCCAACTCCATCGCACACAAACGTCTCTCCTGTCCCCCCCCCTCTCTGTCTCGCGCTGATGACTCGTCTTGGATGTCGGAATGAACAAAGCCGAGCGCGAGCAAGCGGCGCGTATTGCTGCTGAGGAGAGTGGAAGAGCGCGCTCAGCTCAGTGATGCTGTCGCGCGGACAACACTCAGTACAGAGACACAACAGAAGCAGTGCAAACAAACAGCTGCCAACATAACGCAAAGCGAGCCCAAAAATCCCTCAGTGACTGAAATATAAGGAGTCTTGTGTTACAGTAAGATTTCACGAAGTAGTTTGTGGTGTTTACATTAAGAAACAAAGACAAGTGCTTTGACTGCAGCGCTGACTGACTCGCTCTCACTGAGGAAGCGCAAACCTTCACGTCCATCTAGAGTGACTCAGGTAAGACTCTTTTGAATTCACTTCAACATGATTCAGTCTAAAGATGGTTGATCTGACTGCAGATACATCAGCGAAAGCACTGCAATTGGGCCATGTAAAAGAGTAAAAAAAAGTGTTGGGTTGTTCTCAAACCTGGATCACCATGTTTCCATCTCATTCAGCATCTCCAAAGCTGCTTCTCATAAGAAATACACGCACACGTTTGTTTTTCCATCACTTTCCACTGACTTCTATTAAATTATATTAAGCTAATATTTTAAAAAAACTTTTTTTTATTTTATATATGCATGTATCGTCTCATAAACACATTATTTAGAATGTCCAATAAGCCTTTTTGACGGAAACCATCGACTGGCCTTCATAATGCAGATGATTTCTGGTTTTATCTTTGTGTGGACAGTCTTCAAAAACACACACTCCACACCTCCAAGATCTGCAAACTCTCACGCACACCAGAATCATCCATCACCCCGTGCGAATCAGGAGCGCGGGATCTAATAGACTGGAAACATCCTCAAGCATACACTGGCACTGCGCTCCAATCGCTTTATCTCTGATGCCCCTGCCACACGCACATTCACACTCTCACACTGCCTTCGATAACATTTATTAGACCTATAGGAGACCGATTTCCCCCCGAGCGGCTTTGCCTCCAGTGCATTTCTGTCGTTAGGTGTCTGGGAAACACACGGGAGGTTATTGATACTTGTGAACTTTACTGATTTGGACAGCGACTAGTGCAATGAGTCACTGTTGTTCAGTCAAACGACGCTCACCGATGCTCGTTTTAAACTGTGGTGTCGCACACTTGTGGAGAAAAGGAGGCTGGGATTCACTACATGAGGTGGTGAAGGAGGATGAGGAAAAAGGTGAGCAGAGGCAGGTGAAGAAAGAAAGAAAGAAAGAAACAAGGAAGGGGGGGTTCGACTATTTTTAGCTTCCATCTGATGAGAAGGTTATATAGTCTGCCACATAAACCAGAGATTGGGTTTATGTGCACATATAAACCCAATGCCTTGGAAATGCTTGAAACATTTAGAATAATTCAAAACAAAGAGGGTTTTGCATGAGCCTTATTATATTGATATTGATCACTGACGCTCCTTTATTGAATTTCCTTTATGAAGGGACTTCACAGTGCAAAAATCAATGTTTAAAACATCAGCATCCATAAACTCCAGTGCCAAATTCGGTGTAAAAATTGATTCTTTTTACACCTAACATATTCAATACGAATGCCTGTGAGGGTCATTTCTGATATCTGCATTATGCATGGTCAGATGGATTGATGGGATATTTGACCATGTGCAAATCCACACGTTGAAACTTTAACTGAAATGTCTTTCATTAATTACCACAGTTGCACAGTTTCATCTACTTTGGGAAGATACGACCCATTCATTTGCATCCGGCTGTACTGTAGTTTGCCCTTTTAAAAGGATAGTTCACCCAAAAGTGACAATGATCGACAATGATTTACAATGTCATTCAAAACCTCTTTTTTGTGTGTGTGAAGATATAAAAAAATTCTTTCAAAATTGTCTTAAATGGTCCCTCAGGGTCATTTCTATAGGCTTTCATCAGTAATGAAAGAGTGTATAAAACGTGTGCTCATATATTGATACTCTTTCTGGATATAAATATATTGGTATATATATTAAATTGGATACTGGATATAACTCGTGTTTACCAGCAGAGTTTTTTACAAGCCGCGTGCACAATAAAGAGCTGCTTCATCGTTGACAAGCAATATGTGACCTTGGAGCACAAAAGCAGTCTTAAGTCGCTGGGGTATATTTGTAGCAATAGCCAAAAAAAACATTGTATGGGTCAAAATTATTGATTTTTCTTTTATGCCAAAAATCATTAGGACATTAAGTAGTGATCATGTTCCATAAACATATTTTGTAAATTTCCTACTGTAAATATATCAAAACTTAACTTTTGATTAGTAATATGCATTGCTAAGAATTTCATTTGGACAACTTTAAAGGCGATTTTCTCAATATTTAGATTCCAGATTTTCAAATAGTTGTATCTCGGCCAAATATTGTCCTATCCTAACAAACCATACATCAATGGAAAATCTAAATTTCAGAAAATGACTGGTTTTGTGGTCCAGGGTCACATATAACATTTACATGTTTTGTTTCTTACAATGGATAAATAGCCACCTTTTTTGTTCTCTGTCTAATAAAATACAGTATATAGTTATTATTTTGGTTTGAGAAGCCCCTGCAAACGATTCAGTGCATGAGTGAACTGTCAACCTAATCCAATTAATTAGAATTCAACTTTATCCCGAACAATTTTGGACATTTTTGCAAACTCATTTGAACGATTAGATCAAAAAGAGTGATTAATTTTTCAATCATCCATTGTGATTCTAAACAACTGATCAAAAACACATGACTTGATTGATGAAATTTTATCAGAAAAAATTATTATCAGGTCGGTATATGTCAATCAAATAGACACATAAGGATTTATCAGTAAAATTTTATGGGAGCACAGCAGTATTTTACTGGGGTTTATGCTCCAGTAAACAGAATCTAGCGATGCCCCTGTTCAGCCTTTCACTTTCTTTTTTTCTGTTGAACATAAAAGAAGATATTTAAAGAAATTATGTTTTTTTTGTCCATGCAATGAAAACCAATGGTCACATAAGCTAAATATCTTATTTTTTCTTTTGTGTTCCTTGTTTTGAGTAAATTATGACATGATTTCATTTTTTGGGGTGAATATCATTTAAAATTTCAGTCTGTTCCTCACATAGTGCTATCATATGACTTCAAAATACTTTTAATGCTATTATAGTGCTTTTCATTTTTGGGAGAATTCTCACCTCTTTTTTGGGGGATTCAACGTATGGAAAAGGGCAGCTTGTACATTCTACAAAATATCTCAGGTTTGGAGCGACATGAGGGTGAGTAAATGATTCTAAATCTCTTTATGAGGCCCTTTGAGAATTCTGAACACATTAATACGTTTCTGCATGAACAGAATTAGAAATGCATTCTGTAATATAAAGAGGTTTAAATAAAACAATTATGCTAATGTGGATAAGCATTATAAATTAAAAGTACACAATAACAGTGTTTCAGTACTCTGCTGTGTTTCAAGCTAACAGCAATTCCAGGAAGTAATCCCACCTCTGTTTCGAAAATGCCAACACAATCCCCAGTTAATATTTGTTTGCAGACTATAATAGTTACACCTAATCTAAATATCTGCATGTTTGTTATTTTAATTCCTAAGGGTGGTTCAGCTGTGTTCTTGGCCTTCAACTCTGATAGCAAGTTAAAGTGAAGTGATCCTGCTTCGGGTGATTAGTTTAGCTGGTTATTGACGATCATCCTGCGGGACGTTAGAGCAAAACAGAGGAAGGAAGAATTCGGCTTCCTTTAGACTGATCACATTTAATAAAAAAAAATATATATATATAGACAACATGAGATGATAAGGGATTTATGATTATAATATTTAATCCAAATATAATAAATTATCCAGCTTGTGAAGTGAAATGATTTAAATTATATTAACAATATTGACGATAGCTATTTCACATGCCAATTAAATCCTGAAGGATCCCACCCATAACATACTAGCATACTATTTCTGCAAAATATTCAGTGCGCACTATGCAAAACAGGCAGCATGCAACAGAGCACATTACATTGGTTACTGTATCCCACAAAGTCGCTGACTTGACCTTGGCTGCAATTGTTACCTTTTTCTTGATTCATTATTAGATTTCAAATAGTTGTTTTTACACACAAAATTGATTTAAAATTCAGAATGTCTTTTTATGCCAGAAGTGATAACTGTATGCTACTTAATGAATTAAACAAGCAACATAGTGAGGTCATGTGTAGCATACTACTGTTTGAAACGTATATCGTTGCATAATGCATTGTTTCACAAACTTAATTTTACATAGCAGACAGTATACAGTCTACATTTTTATCAGACATTGATCATGTTGCCCTCTCACCATGTTTGATTCAGCAGCTCTGGCCGTGTCTCTGTCATCTTTGCTTTGCTTTAATTATTTAAAACACTGCAGTAGTGAACAGTGAACTCCCAGATAACCTTAGATATTTCAGAGCCTTTTATCACGTGTAAAAAAAACAAAACTCTTCAAAAGCAGAACTTCTGTGATATGAAAGAAAAAAAATATGCTCAGTCTGTCAGAGTAGGGCTCTCCACAGGGCCGCAACCTTGACAGAGATTTGATTCCACATCATCCATCAATCTGCTATGGCCTGAGGTTTCTCTCTAATGCTGAAAGTTTCATTTTAACCTTTTGGAGAAACGACTAGAGCTCTCAAATCTGATGCAGTGGGAGACTCCAGCAAACTCCTCTGAAAGAGTCTCCAGCATGAAGAGAGAGCTGCTACAGCATTGTTAGTCACGGCCTGAGGCGGCACGCCCACGTAGTGTCTGATGCATATTCAAAAATCACAACCGTGACACAATATAATTTCAAAATGGCATGCTCTGATCTGATTGGCTGGCTTTACGCAATTTTTGAGAGTTGCTGTGCACAGGTGTTTATCAGTTAATCGAGAAAGTTCATAGGCTTTCACCTAATATAATTACTTGAAGTACCCCTGATAAATATTTTAATAATTATCACATTTGCATATTCAGGGTTAATGGTCACATGACATGCAGGTAAACAAATAAAATACTTAAATTTTTAGTAAGTGTTTTATTTTGATTGATGTTATTTTAAAAATGATTTGTTTCAATTTTACATTTTTATGATTTAATTAATTATTTGCTTTTCATTAAACTCACAAACCTCAGCTTGGTAAACCTTGAAGTAATGTAATGTTTAATGCACTTCATGCTGTCAATAACATCAAATGGAATATATTTTCTTTTTCGTTGCATTTTTTTATCGATATGGTACAAGGTTATCCTATTTAAATCAATGTGATAAACGAGTTAGGTCAAAAGTAATCTAAAAGTAAAAAATAATCTGATTATATTAC